GAGTAGGTATGTGTTTTTTTATATATTTATAGGTACTATAATTAAATCTTATTGAGATTTGCCCTCAAACGTAAAAATTTGTGATAAATCCACGCAACGTGAATATAAGTGCCTTTGTATTCACGCAGGGGAACGGCAGATTTAGTACCGCATACTTTTTTTCGTTGTTTTTTTATAGAATTTGTACCAGATATTAAGGCAACTAAGCCATTAATTTTCATGTGAGTTTTATATTTTTAGAACATGGGATTAATTAACAATATCAATAAAAATATTTTAATAAATAAACGTAATATAAGCATAAACTAAACGCAATTATGTTACTAGAAGTTGCCATATGTAATATAAGAGAAATATCGAAATGTTAATTAATTATATAGAAATAGAAATAACAATATTCATAATTGAATTATAATAATTGAACACTTACATATTATATATAAGAATGCATTAAATGTTGTATAAAATCATAATGTTTAACGATTTAATGATAGGAATGATTTTAGATGGCGAGTCTGCAATGTGTAAATTGCAGTGTTCGCTTGTCCCGAATAAGAAGGCACATGGTTAAAATTTAGAATCGTTTGGCAAGAATTTGGGGGAGTAAGGTGTTTTATTTGGTAGAGGTTTGGTCCACGATTATAATAATACCACTCACATTAAAAAGGTAATGCACCGTTCTTGAGAAAAATCAAAAAGAAAATCCCATAGAACTAACCTCAAAATGATAACTCAAGTAGATGGTTTAAAACAAAAACAAACATGATTGGGCGGAACGCAATCAGAATTTATTGCTGTAACTGCATTGTAGGTTTAAGAACTGTGGGATGCTACTCACTAGTTATGAGTATTATTGGGTACCTACGCCATGCTCGCCATGAGGGTATTACCCAGCCTGCCCCCTTCTTGGATGAAGATTTATAAAGAATTCATTAATTATAAGTACAATAAAATAAATGAACTTAAAAAACAAAATATTTTTATTTACCTACACTCAAAACCCCATCAGAACTTCATTATTATCAAATTGTTGCAGTTCGTTGCTGAATATAGGTATCTCCTAATTCACAACGCTGAGTAGATATCGATTTCAACTCAATCTATCTGCGTAATGGTAGATAGACGCTGTTGCAACATTACAGTTGTAACACGAAGAGTCGGCTCGACCGGGGAAGAACAACGCTCCACAGAGTACCACTGTAAAATAGCAGCTTAATGCTGCTGTGTTTCGTATGGTGAGTGTAGAGATCCGGAGACCCTTTTTTAATGGAAACGAGGCATTCGATCCTAGTCCTCAGAGGTGACAACGCATCTGAATTTTGATTCTAAAACGAGGATAAATGTAGACGTCTATGGGCCACAGCCTCCACTAACCATCACGTGGACTTTCTGTTCCATTGTCACCCATATTCTATAAAAAAATGGTTAGTGAAACACACTACAGAGTAGCGAAAAGCAATATAGAATATTTACTTTATCAAAAAAACAATGTTTATTTGCCTATGTGTAACGATCTACATAGGTACATTAGGAGAGGTTTGGCCAACGACGGATTGTCGCTTCTGTTTTGTTGCTAGAATAATGGTTTGAAGTAGATTTTGATTTGTAAAAGTGATGCGATTTTGTGAATTGTCTGCGCTTGTGAACTATTAGAGAAAATGACGAAACAAGTAGTTTAATGTTTATATAATCTTCCAAAAACTGTAACGCAAAAAGTGACGCATCAGAATATTGTGATGTAAAAAAAATATAAAAACGAAGATTGCAAAAGAAAATATCTCAAAAGGGCTAGAACGCAAAGCCGTAAAGCGAGTTAAATAAAACAAAATTGGAATACTATAATGTCTACGACGTAATATTATATATTAGTCTATGGTCTATGTAGATAATCATAAAAAATAAAACTGGTTCTAACTTTTATGTCCCAAGTTCTAAAAGTCTAAGAATTTAAAACCAATTAAAACCAGAAATATCCTAAAACACGAAATTTTATTAGCGGTACGAAACTCTCATACAAGCCCGCCATTCCCCCCTGATACTTCTTCCTCTAATATCATTACTTATTATATAATGATTTTAATGTAATTTAGTAATATATTCATGTTAAAAAAATAATAACAAGAATATTTTTTCTGCAAAAATATTTAATTACGTAAAATCATATTTATATAATAATCAATTACGTATAATCATATTACGTAAAATCATAGTTATACACAGTTAACAAAGCAATATAATCAAGTAAATATTAAACATATCTTTTTTACACTAAGGCATAAAATAATAAAACAATTCGAAGATCTGGTAGTTTGGTTTTTAAAACTGTTGGAGTCGGTTTTAAATCATTTATTTCGGTCCATTTGTTTTGAATTGTCCTAGTATAAGCTATATAATGTCCAACACCATCTGGTATAATCGATGGTTGGAATTTAATCACTCCAGCCAGTAAATATTTTTTATCCCTAATATTTAAACATTTCTCTAAAAAAATATAAGGATTTCTCTCAAATTACTTCTTGAAAATGTTTGTTGTTTATCTGTTTTCGAAGAAAGTAATTTTTCATAAAAATGACTCACGTTCAAACATAAGTATGAATCGAAATTTAGTGTTCGACCGATTACGTGTTCTTTACATTTTTTTACAGAAAAACTTTTCATTTTCAATATCACTCAAAATACTTTCTTCCAGAAAATCAAAGCCTAAATATTAATGTAGCGTTCACGTTTAATAATGATTTTTTTTTGTTTCAGAACATTTACATCTCACGCAAAATGTCTGTTCTGTGATAGATTCATAATGTATCAGTAAATTCTGAATTAATTCAGTTACATCATCCTTACAGTCAATTAAGTAATTTTGTTCGCCATTTATCTTGCGTAATAAATTAAATCTTTTACTTTTAAACGCGGCAGTAGCTCCAAATTCAGCATAAAATAATATAATTTCTAGGAATTCAGACTTACTTTTTTGATTGTCAATAAAAAAGTTTTAAGTTTTTTGAAGTTTAAATAAGCAAAAAGAAAAAAGTTCAACTATACTATCAAATGGGCAAGTATTTTTTATTGATAATTTTAACTTTCCAACATTCCGAGGGTTACTGACGCAGCCATTTTGAATTATTTGCCGCTTTTTAGTTTTTTTTTTGGAATTTTTTGGCTGCTGCATTTTGATGTAGTACTTTTATAGATGGAAATGGAACAACATATTTTCCTCGTTTGACTGTTGGGCATGGAGTACTTGTTCAAATTTGTTTGCGTTTGACTGACTTCTGAGTTTCGAGAATTTTAAATTTAATCGGTTTCTCGTCAGACTATTGAAAAACTATTTTCTACGTTTTCTTTACCCGGAATATTTGACGATTTTGATGTATCAGGATATGTTTCAGAGGTAGAATGGAATTTTGGCTCAGAGAAATTAAAATTTTTATTAAATAAAATACTATTTTCTTCAGTTGGTAATTCGACGGAAATTGCAACAGGGGTTGATAAAAATTTCAACTCCGATGTATGATTTGAAATAAGTTCTTTAGATTCATCTGTTTTAAAAGTTTTAGTTTCATTATCATTATTTTTTATTGATTTAACAACATTTAAAGAATTATCATTAGAAATTTCTTCTTCAGTGGAATCTGGATCCACATTTTCGTCAAGTCTGTTTTTGTTTTTCCAATTTTCTTGATAATTCACAATGGATTCATCAGCAACTTTTTGAGGCTTATTTAATAGTTTTTTAGTTGTCATTTGCTGCTTATCATAAGTAGCTCTGGTTTCAATTAATCTAGGTAAAATAGTCTGGATATGTTGAATTATAAACATATCGGCTCGGGTTGGTTGTCGGTCATCTAGTACATTTTCTTTTATGTATTTAAACTGTTCAGTGCTGTCTCAGTGATCGCAAGTGTGAAAACTGGCAGCGATCACAGAATGGTTAGAGGCACACTGAAACTAAACGTTAAGTTGTAGAGGTCTCGTCTAATAAGTCAACGCTCCGTCCCCCTCGTGCTCTAATCCAGAATCCCGAAAACTTTCAGCTCGAGTTACGTAACCGCTTTCAGTGCCTAGAAGATTGCAATGCAGTGGACGATATGAATGACAAGCTCGTGGAAACTGTCCATGCGGTCGGAGCTAAGTTCTGCAAGACCCGCCGCAGAAGAACACAAAAACTCTCCGATCACACTCTTAATCTCATGGCTGTTAGACGGGAGATGAGGCTGCAATCGTCAACAATCAAAGTCAAAAACTTTAATACTGCTCGTATTTAAGAAGCGATCGAGCGGAACCAGGGCCCCAAAGTCTTTGCCAGAGATCTGTCTGCCAGTAAGAGCCAACTGTCAAAGCTGAAGACTGAGTGTGGCAGCATCGTTTCCGGGACACCTGAGAGTGAGATTGAGAGGTTCTATGGGCAGCTGTACACATCATCGTTGGAGCCACACGCAAGTGTGAGTAATGATCCGAGAGCAAGTCTTATCCGACACTATTCCGATGATATCCCGGACGTCAGTCTAAGCGAGATTAGAATGGCTCTCCAGCACCTTAAAGACGGCAGGGCCCCAGGCGAGGATGGAATTACAGCGGAGCTTCTGAAAGCGGGTGGAACACCGGTACTTGAAGTCCTTCAGAAGCACTTCAATTCCGTCCTCCATGGTGGCACTACTCCAGAGGCGTGGAGCAGAAGTGCGGTGGTCTTGTTCTTTAAGAAAGGCGACAACGCTATCTTGAAGAACTACAGACCGATTTCCCTTTTGAGCCGCGTCTACGTGCTGTTTTCGAGAGTCATTACGAATCGTCTCGCACGCAGACTCGACGACTTCCAGCCTCCCGAACAAGCCGGTTTCCGAAAAGGCTTCAGTACCATAGACCACATACATACCCTGCGGCAGATTGTACAGAAGACTGAAGAGTACAATCTGCCACTTTGCCTGGCGTATGTAGACTATGAGAAAGCCTTTGATTCCGTCGAAATTTGGGTGGTGCTACAGTCCCTTCAGCGATGCCAAGTTGACTGTCGGTATATCGAAGTGCTGAAGTGTTTGTACAGTAGGGCTACGATGGCTATCCGAGTACAGAACCAGAGTTCGAAACCTATCCAACTGCAGAGAGGTGTAAGACAAGGTGACGTTATATCCCCGAAACTTTTCACCGCTGCATTGGAGGACGTTTTCAAGCTACTGTACTGGAAAGGATAAGGTATTAACATCAATGGCGAGTACATCACTCACCTTCGATTTGCCGACGATATAGTCCTTATGGCAGAATCGCTGGAGGACTTAAGCACTATGCTCAATGACCTCAATAGTGCCTCCCAACGGATAGGTCTTAAGATGAACATGGACAAAACAAAGATCATGTTTAATGTCCATGTCACACCTATGCCGGTAGTTGTTGGGAGCACTATGCTCGAAGTTGTTGACGAGTACGTTTACCTGGGACAAATAGTCAGACTAGGTAAGTCCAACTTCGACCGAGAGGTCAATCGACGGATTCAACTCGGCTGGGCAGCGTTCGGGAAATTACGACATATCTTCTCGTCAAGTATACCTCAATCTCTAAAAACTAGATTGTACAACCAGTGCGTGTTGCCAGTGATGACTTACGGATCTGAGACGTGGTCTTTCACTGCTGGCCGTATGAGGACGCTCAAGGTCGCTCAGCGAGCTATGGAGAGGGCTATGCTCGGAGTTTCTCTGCGTAATAGACTCAGAAATGAGGATATCCGCAGTAAAACCAGAGTGACCGACATAGCCCAACAGATTAGTACGCTGAAGTGGCAATGGGCCGGCCATATAGCTCGAAGAACCGATAACCGATGGGGAAGAAAGGTTCTCGAGTGGCAGCCTCGTACCGCTAGGCGTAGTGTAGGACAACCTCCCACTAGATGGAGTGACGACCTGGTAAGATATGCAGGAAGTCGATGGATGCAGGTGGCTCAGGAGCGTGCTTTGTGGCATTACTTGGGGGAGGCCTATGTTCAGCAGTGGACTAGTGAAGGGCTGTGATAATGATGATTTAAAATAATTCTCAGAAAGAGAAGAAGTTGCAACATAATGTTCTGAGCCATAATGCTTACGCATGACATTTGTCCATGATGGAAAACATTTAAACAAGAATATTAATTTTTCTAATATACTTTTAAAATAATAAGGGTTAATATCATCAAAATTCACAGTCATTAGAATTAATATTACTATGAGATTCTCTAACAAGTTTATCAAAATAATTAATTATATCTAGATTAATCAGTGAATTTAATAAATGAGAATCATTACTTTCAATTTCTTCATCGTGACAAACCAAATGGCTGTCGCAAAGATTTTGTTTTTCACAGCAACTGCTGTTTTTAATTTTTTTGTAGTCAATAACGTTCTCATAAAATTCAGACGTTTCCAATTTTTCCAGTATCCATTGAATATCATTTTTTGCACACATATTCATGTTGGCTTATATTTAATAACGATTTCATCATTTTTTCAATGTCTGCGAAATGTTCCATAGTACTCATTAGAACAATAGCTCTTAAATAAAAATCTTTAATTACAAATTTAACTGACGAAAAACTTTTGTGTGTTGACATACTACGAATTAAGTGAGAAATATCAATTCTTAAATACGTTCGTGGTAAAATTTTGCTCTTCTTAAATAAAAACCTGTAGCAGTTTGATAAATATTGCTTGTATGACACGTAACAAAACGCTATGCATATTCCATTTTGTAAAGCATCCGACATATCTGTTACAACTTCGAGAGGCACGTGAGCTTTTCCTGACATCCACTCATAGAGCCAAAATGTAACTATTTTAGTGTCATGTCTTTTCGTTAACGTCTGGCAAACTGGAACGATTAAAGAACCAATATTAATGACAATTTGATATAGAAATATCGGGCCATGGTGATAATTTTCAGTGTAATGAATCTTTCGAACTACACTCCCCGTAGCGTCTAAAGACACTTCAGGTTTCAGTGTTAATAAATCGTTGTATAAATCTGTTTGCTGATGGGTCCAGTAGAATATGAAAAATTTATCAAATCCCACTTGCCTAATAACATCATGATATTCCACGTTATTATGCTTCAGGTGTTTTAATGACTCCCATACATTGGACACCAAGACTGATTTTCTTACCTTCATGGCGGATTTTATTAAGGACAAGTGCATTTGGAATGATGGGAGCTGCGTGCTCACCATACTGTTGGTACTTTTTAATTAGATTTCTTTTAAACGGCTCTCCTTTTTTGCAGTTCCAAATATTTCGCAAATTCACGTCTCTGCTTTCCAGTAACATATCGTTTTTTAGAATGAGGAATGTTACGTGTCTGCGCTGTATGTATTATCATAGTTACGTTTTCGTCATTGTTAAATGTAAAATACACTCTCCCATGATAGCAGCTTTACATTATTTTTCTGTACAAAACCCGGAAATCTTCAAAATATATTTATCTATATTATTTTCGTTAGTTAGGTAATAAACGGTGTTAGGTGTACTCCTCAGGTAAGCTCTCTCCAGACCAGGATCGCAGGATCGTCAATGAAGAAGACCAGGATAGTACTAATAACTTGATTTAATAACTATATTTACAATGTCGTATATGACGACGTACGGTGATGTACGGATGTACGGTGCAGTCTGAGGCCCGAACGGGGTGGTGGCATGTGTGTGACGCAGCATGCGTGACGTCACTGTGGGCCCGGTACGATTAAAGGTTTGTTGGTTGCGCCAACATCTTCCCGCCTCTTAAGCTCCTGGCTTTAAGCTTCATCATCATCCAGGAATGGACAGATTCGGTTGATTGCTAGACGAATCGGCCCTTCGTTGTAAGTATGTCCGCAACTCGACATGCGCCATCGGTGCCAGGATGCACTGCTTGAATCCGTCCTAGTGGCCACTTGAGCGGTGGAGTCGCCTCGTCCTTTATCAGAACTATCTGACCAGGTTGAATGTCGGGGCGGCGTCGCTGCCAACGGGTGCGCTGCTGCAACTCGCAGATATATTCCTGGCTCCATCTTGACCAAAAATGTTGCCTTGCCTGCTCGATTTTCGCATATCTTTGAAGACGGTTAGGGTTCACTTCTTGCAGGTCTGGTGCCGGTAATGAAATGAGCGGTCTTCCTATGAGGAAATGCCCGGGGATGAGGGGAACTAGGTCGTGCGGAGATGAGGACATAGGACATAGGGGCCTAGAATTAAGTATAGCCTCAATCTGTGCGAACAGGGTTGCTAGCTCCTCAAAGGTTAAATGCGTATTACCTATCACCCTTTTCATGTGGTATTTTACAGACCGGACAGCTGCTTCATATAAGCCTCCAAAGTTTGGAGCATACGCGGGTGCAAAATTAAACTTAATCTTATCTTCTACAAATGACGCTGACACAGAGTTAGAAGCGGCAGTGAGAAACTCACCTAAATCGCGGTTAGCGCCAACAAAATTTTTCCCATTGTCGCAAAATATCTCTAGAGGGGGCCCTCTACGAGCCATAAAGCGACGCAATGCTAAAATAAAATTTTCAGTACTCAAAGAACTGACAGCCTCAAGATGTATGGCCTTAACCCTAAAATCTATTATGACACACAGGTAACTCTTTGTCAGTCTTGCGCCGCGGCCTTTCCTGTCAACTGTGTAAAAAGGACCTGCGAAATCGGTTCCCACGATCTCAAAAACATATCCAGGTGTGACCCGTTGCGCTGGTAAATTGCCCATTATTTGTTGCGCAACTTCTCCTTTCATCCTCTTACAGCGTGTACAAT